TTATGCCATTACATTTGTTCTATTCCCTCCTTCATTCCCCTCCACCCTGCACACCCCTTCCCCACCATTCCCCCCTTTAGTTCATAAACATGTGTCTCAAGTTCTTTAGATTCTATATTTCCCCTACTATTCTTACCCTCCCTCCTATCTATTTTTTATCTACTGTCTATGCTACTTATTTTCTGTACCTTCTCCCCCCTTCTCCTTCTCCCACTCCCCTGTTGCTACCCCTCCACATGATCTTCATTTCCATGGTTTACTCCTGATCTAGCTGTCCTCTTAATTTGCTTTTGTTTTTGGTGTGGTTGTTAATAACTGAGTTTGCTGTCCTTTCACTGTTCATCTTTTTTATCTTCTTTTTCTTAGGTAAGTCCCTTTAACATTTCATATAATAAGGGCTTGGTGATGATGAACTCCTTGAACTTGATCTTATCTGAGAAGCACTTTATCTGTCCTTCCATTCTAAATGAAAGCTTTGCTGGATAGAGCAATCTTGGTTGTAGGTCTTTGGTTTTCATGACTGGGAATACTTCTTTCCAGCCCCTTCTTGCCTGTAAGGTCTCTTTTGAGAAATCAGCTGACAGTCTGATGGGAACTCCTTTGTAGGTGACTGTCCCCTTATCTCTTGCTGCTTCTAGGATTCTCTCCTTCATTTTAATCTTGGCTAATGTAATTATGCTGTGCCTTGGTGTGTTCCTCCTTGGGTCCAACTTCTTTGGGACTCTCTGAGCTTCCTGGATTTCCTGGAAGTCTATTTCCTTTGACAGAATGGGGAAGTTCTCTTTTATTATTTGTTCAAATAAGGCTTCCACTTGTGATTGTTCATTTTCCCCTTCTGGTACTCCTATAATTTGGATGTTGGAACGTTTAAAGATGTCCTGGAGGTTCCTAAGCCTCTCCTCATTTTTTTGAATTCTTGTTTCTTCATATTTTTCTGTTTGGTCATTTTTTCCTTCCTTCTGGTCTGCTCCCTTAATTCGAGTCCCAGTTTCCTTTCCATTACTATTGGTTTCCTGTGCATTTATGTTCATTTCAATTAGTTTAGCCTTCATATGTTCCTCTAATTTGTGACTAAAATCAACCAGTTCTGTGAGCATCCTGATCACCAGAGTTTTGAACTGTGCATCTGAAAGTTTGGCTATTTCTTCATCACTTAGATTTATTGGCTCTGGGGCTCTGAGTTGTTCTTGAGCCATGGTTTGATCTGTTCATGCCTGTTAGGTATGAGGAGTGGAGCCTTAGTTGTTCACCAGGGCAGGGCCACCCAGGTCACTGGTTTGTGATGCTATATGTGGGGGCAGGGTGAGAGAGAGAGCAATGGTGGTCCTCTCCGATAGCCGGGTCTGCCTCACTGCTCGCCCCCGCCTGTTTATCTGAGCGCAAATGTGCGAGCCTGCCGCCCTGCGCTGGGGCCTGTGCGGTCTGTCTCAATGCACGTCTTTTCACTGGTTTATCTGCATGCAAATGTGTGACTGCAGACAGCCGGCCAGGCCGTGCCTTCCTGTAGCTACCCCGCACCTGGGATCTGTGCCCTTGGCTGCTTGTGCACCACCCGGGTCGGGGGATCTTTTTTGCCTGACTCGCTTTGCTGCTGGCTTTGCCCCCTCACCGGTTTAGCTGAGGGGTTTGTTGTTTTTGGACTCCGTATTGTTTGATTTTCCGTGGTTTGGTTTCGTTTATTGTTGTTAAAACTTTGTTATTTTTAGATTTGTTTGTGTGAGGAAGCAAAGTGTTTCCACCTACGCCTCCATCTTGGTGGAAGTCCTCTGATGTTTGGATGTTTCTGACTTACAGAAGCGGCCATGTTACAGGAGTCAGCCCATAGTCTGAGTCCTTAAAAATGACGGTTTTGCCAGTGCTCACGGTACAGTGCAGAGGAGGTAGGAAGAGCAGGTGTTGGCCTCACCTCTTCCCTCCCATAGGATGCAAATCTAAGTTACCCAGATTTTATTTGTCCCATTGAAACACTTGGGGGGCTGATGTTGGCCATGGAAGCAGATGCCTCCAGAATTTGGCAAAGGATTCCAACTCAGCCTGCATTTGGTGAGAGGGGTCAGGGTGAATCCTTTCCTCAGTGCCTGGTTATCCAGCCCACTTACCACGAGGGGGAGATGTTTGGAAATTAGTGGCAAAGTTGTCTGCGTATCTGCCATCTCCAACATCATAGGCAGCTCTGTCTAGTCATATGCTAGACGTTTTTAGGTCATCCTCAAAATAGATCATCCTGAAAACATTCTTGTCCATTCCAAAGTTGCCACGGTCCTGGACTCCTAAGATTCCCATGGTCTTTGTTATTTCAATCTCCCCTTATTCCAGAAAATGATATGTTATTTCTTAGTGTAAACCTCTCCAAAGAAATTGTTTGGGATTCTCTGTGATTCCTGGACTTTTTTTGGTCTATTTTTTCAAGTCAGGAAGTTTCCTGTCATTATTTCTTCAAATAGGTTCTCGGTTTCTTGCTCTCTCTTCTCCTCACAGCCCTCATGATGCAAATACTGGTGTTCTTCATGTTGACTCAGAGGCCCCTTAAATTACCTTTATTTCTAAAATTATTTTTTCTTTTTGTTGTTCTGATTATTTTATGCTACCTTGTTTTCCAAATTTATGATTTGATCCTCCGCTTCATCTAATCTGCTGTCAATCCCTCTAATGTTGAGTTCCTCACTTCAGTTCTTGTATTCATTATTTCTGATTGGTTCTTTTTAATATTTTATCTCCATTTTTATGTGTCCTATCTCTATTGAAATTCTCCCTGAGTTCCTTGAGAATCCTTATAACTACTATTTTGAACTCTGTATTTGTTAGATTGTTTGTCTCTATTTTTTTTTTTTTTTAGTTATTTTTCTGGAGTTTTGTCCTGTTCTTTCATTTGGAACATGCTTATTTATCTCCCCATTTTGGCAGCCTCTCTGTGTTTTCCTCAATGTATTAGGTAGAGCTGCTATGTCTCCCAGGCTTGCTAGAGTGGCCTTATGTAGTAGGTGTTCTTCAGGGCTCAGTGGCACGGCCTCCCCGGTCATCCAAGCTAGGGGCTTCAAGTGCACCCTTTGTGTGGGTTGTATGCACCCTTGTGTTGTAGTTGAGCTTTGATTGCTGTTGGCATGTCAATGAAAGGGATTGACCCCAGGCCAATTGGCTGCTAGGGCCAGCCATAACTACAGTACAGGAGCTGATATGCAGGGGCTGACCCCAAGGTCAGTGGGGCCCTGGTGCTTTTTGAGTCAGCGCCTTGTGTATGTGGCCTGTGGTGGTGGCTGGGTAGTGCTCCACCATGATCTAAAACTGTACACCAGATGCACTGGCTTTGGGGACTCCCAGGGGATGCAGACCAAGGTCAACTGCCTGTGACTTGCCTAGGGCCACCTGTTATGAGCTACAGTGACCTTCAGGTGGTTGACAATTATGCTGAGCTTAGGGGTGCCTGGGAAAGGCCAACCTGCAAACCGAGTCACTAGCTGCCACTAGTGTTGGGTTTGTGCTTGCTTAGCAACAGGTATGGGGCATGCCAAGGCCAGATGCTGCTTTTTTGTGGTTTCTGAACCTTTGAGAAATTTTAGGGAAGCCTTCAGCAGGAGCTGATAGAGATCATTTAAAAGCCACTGTAAGCAGCTTGGGTGGGCCCGCAATTTGGTTAGGGTGAGGTTTCAGGGAATTACCAGGGCAGGGGGGATAGTGTTAACCAAGTTGATGGAGACTCAGTTATGGTGCCCACCTGTACCTGCAGGGGAAGGGCCCAGGAAATGAACAGTGTCTTCTGCCAGCATTTCTGTCTGGGAGAAAGCTGCCCTTCTAATTCTTGCCCCAAAGCCAGATAATTCAGTTATTCCCTTCATGTCCCTGCCCCTTTCCAGCTGCTGCCCCAGTGCTGGAGCTTGGAAAGAATGAATCTGAGTGCATCCATTCCAAGGCCCTTTAACAGGAATGCCTGGGACTCCAGGAGCCCTCTGTTTCACTCAGTCACAATCCCCTCTGGTTTTCATAGCAAGAAGTTATGGGAAGCCTGGACTGGAACCCTGGACTGGTGGGGCCTGGTGAGGGGCTGGGATCCCTCACTCCTTGGGGGAATTTTGGTAGTTGGGACACCCCTCCTGATTTTTAACCACCACATATTGGTGAGGGACCAGCCCGCTTTGCATCTCTGCCTCTCCTACCAGTATTGATGTAGCATCTTCTTTATATTCTTAGCTGTAGGACTTTTGTTCAGCTAGACTTCAGGTAGTTTTCAGTGGTGATTGTGCTGTAGTTTAGTTGTAATTTTAATGCAGTGTGGGAAGAGGTGAACACTGCGTTTACCTATGCCACCATTTTGACTATGGGACTTTCAGCTGCACTCCTGATTTCCAGGGAAGAGAGAGGGGCTAGAGGTTGAATCAGTCATCAATGACCAATTAGTTAATCAGTCATGTGTATGTAGTGAAGCCTCCATAAACACCCAAAAGGTTGGGGTTCGGAGAGCTTCTGGGCTGGTGAACAGTTGCAGGTGCTGTGAAGGTGCTGCCCAGAGGACGGTGCTCCTTCCCCATACCTGGCCCTACTCATCTCTTCCACCTGGCTGTTCCTGAGTTGTATCCTCCTGCAATAAATGAGTGACCTAGTAGGTAAAATGTTTCCCTGAGTTCTGTGAGTCACTCTAGCAAATCAACAGGTGAGCACTGGAGGATCCTAGAGCCCTTAACATGTGGAATCTCATGCAATCTTTGGGTAGACAATGTCAGAATTGAATTTAATCATAAAACACCCAGTTGATGCCCAAGAATTGCTTGTTGGTGTGGGAACACCTCTCTCTCTCTCTCTCTCTCTCTCTCTCTCTCACACACACACACACACACACACACACACACACACTACACTTGGGTATAGAACCTTTTACAGCTGCAGTCAGATGTAGCTCTCATCCTGTAGTAACATATGATGCCCTTTGTGACCCTGGTGTGTGTATTTTATCTGGAAGAGTCTACAATAAAGTGAACAATGAGGGATGAAGCTTCTAACTCACCCAGGCTTTAGCCAAGCAAAGCCCCAGGGAACCCCACTCCTGAACTATCTTCTTCTCTTTCTGTTTCAGGTCTCAGTGTCCTGCTAGCTCTGTCAGGGTCAGAAGCGAAGAATTCTGGAGGTGAGCCTATGATTGTCAAAGGTAGGGAAAAGGAAATTGAGTCTGCAGCCTGCCTCCAGAAAAAGGAAGGACTCTTTTTCAAGGGAGAGAATATTAATTCCTGCACCTTCCGCCTACTCCTTGGAGCTTCCCAAAACTGCCTTTTCCTTCTCCACCATCACCATTATGACCACCCCTCCCATTTATTTAGCACTTGTATTGCACCAGGCTCAATACTATGCCAATTCTATGCTCCATCTCATTCAATCCTTATGACATTCCTTCAAGGAATTTTCTTACATTATTTCTACTTGACCAATGGCCCTCTAGAGAAGTGGCTGGCTCAAAGTCACACAGTGGTGGATGTTGGACTCTACCCTTTCTTTTCCAAAAGCTTGTGTCCCAAATCATTCTGGGATATATTGTTGCCTTTGCCTCATGTCTTGGATTAGGTCCTCTCAGAAGCAAATCTGGAGATAAGGACTTGTGAGAAAATAATGCATCACAAGGTGATCCTAGGAAGCATCATCTGGAAGTGGGAGGTCAGGTGGGAAGGCAAGGAGCTAATATAGAGTCCATTATCCAGCGAGTTACATGTGGGCAATGGGATCTCCACCCCATGGGGACTGCTGTTGGACATAGCAAGATGCATGCACCTGGAAGTTATTTCCCCCAGTTAAACACTGATTCCCTATTCCCTTACCCCAACCCCTGGCACCCTCCTTTCTACTCTCTCTATAAATTTAACTCCTGTAGGGACCTCACACGAGAGGAACCATACAGCATTTGCCCTTTTGTGATTAGCTTATTTACTTATCACAAGGTCGTCAAGCTTCATCCACGTCATAGCATGTGTTGGAATTTCTATTTTTTAAAGCTGGATAATGTTCTGTTGTGTGAATAGACCAAATTTTGTTTATCCATTCATTTGTTGATGGAAAGCTGGGTGGCTTTCATATTTTGGCTACCATGAATAATGCTGCTAGGAATGAACATAGGTATACATCTATCTCTTCAACACTCTACTTTCAATTCTTTTGGCTATATACCCATGAATGGAACTGCTAGATTATAGGACAATTCTAATTTTGATTTTAGAAATTTCCATACTGTTTTCCACAAGAGCTGCACCATTTTACATTCCTACTAGCAATGCATTAGGGTTACAATATCACCACATCCTATTCTCTATTTTTGATAATAAGATAACTGGGTTTTTTAATGCACTTACTCTTGTCTGTCATTGATTGAGAAAATTGCTTTGGGGGTAGGGGCAGAGAAAGCATTGCTACCCATCATGTGGTGAGCAAAGAGGACTCTGGTGGCCAAAGAAAGACCCCAAGTAAAGAAATACAGGTGCTAGAGAAGTTCTACTGTCAAGCAAAAGTGGTGTTGGTGGCAGAAGTGGGATGTGGCTAGGGCACGTGCGTTCAGTAGTTGGATAGGTGCCAATGGAACTGTTCCCAAGAGGACATTCTTTTGACCAGAGTCTGGTAGCTCAATGCACTGCATGAATATTTCTTGAGAAAATGAATAATCAAATGAATGAAAGAATCTTGTATTCCCTGCAGCATCCTGTCCCTCATGTCCTGAAAAGGCCAGCCGCTTCAATGATACCCACTATGCTTGTAAAGATGGATATCAGTCCACGTCTGGGAGGAAGTACTTTACTGAATCTTATGAGAAATGTGAAGGTAGGTGTTGTAATCCACATTCACCTTGGAGTTTGGAAGGGGGCAGAGGCATCCTTCTGTGCCCCAAACCCTGGGTTATGTATGCTGCAAAAATGCAAGAATATTACAAGATAGTGCCAAAGCCCTTAGTGAAGTCCCTACCCCTATGCATCCCCCCACTGCCATTATAATGCTGGCTTGATGATTTGTGGTTTTTCTTTAGAGGAGGCTAGAGTTCCCAAGACCCTGGACTCTTGAAGTTTCAAGCAGTGGTATTTTTGTTTGCTTGTTTTCCTGAGAACTTCCGCAGGGCAGGTATCATCTCTGTATGCCTAGGACTGAGGATAGTGTTCTTAAATAGTAGATGCTCAATAAAAACACATCGACCAGGAGAACATGTAAATACATATCTTGGCACTCGCCATCTACCATGATCTGACTTTAACTTAGTTTTCCAGTTTTACTTCTCACCCCTCCCATCTGTTCCAGCCAAAATCCATGTTCATTTCCACGAATTCTAATGGTCAATTTAAATACCAAAGAAAAATGGCACTTCTGAACATTTTATTGATGGAATTTTAGTGGGAATTCAGAATGTGAAGCACACAGTGGTAGGCTAGGATCTGTTTTATTTTATTGTGGCAAATGCACACAACATAAAATTCACTAGTTTAACCATTTTTAGGTATGTCTTTCAGTGAGATTAAGTACATTCACACTGTGACACAACCATGACCACCATCCATCCATGGAACCTTTCTCATCTCCCCAGACGGAAACTCTGTCCCCACTAAGCACCAACTCCCAGCCCCTGGCTCCCACCATCTGCTTTTTGTTTCTGTTAATTTGTTTCCTCTCAGGGACATCCTATGTATGGAATCATGCAATACTGGATATACCTATTTTTTAACTTACTATTTTGAAATGGTTTTAGACCTAAACGAAAATTGCAAAAACAGCAGAGCGAATTCTTTTTTCCCTTCATCTGGTTCCCCTAAGGCCAACCAAAGACATGGCTACGGTAAAAGGATCAACACCAGAGAATGATATTAACCACAGACCTCCTTCAAGTTTCACTGGTTCTTCCCTAAGGCCCCTTTTTTTCTGTCCCAAGGACCGTTCCAGAGTCCCACGTTGTCTTTAATGGTCATGGCCCTTAGTCTTGTCTCATCTGGGAGAGAGACTCATCTTCCGTGGAATGACACTTTCGATAGGACATCATAGATGTCGTGTAGAACTTTGCCCTTCTGGCTTAAACATATACTAGAAATCATTCCAAATCGGTTCATAGAGATTGTCCCCGTTTTCTTTTCTTATAGCTTTGGTACGAGCCACAGTTTATTCAACCCTCTCCTAAGTATGGGCATTCCCATCGTTTCTAACATCTGGGCAGTTTCCCACACTTGTGGCAGTGTGTCTCTAGAGTACAGTCCTAGAAGTGAGACACCTGAGAGAAGAGGTAAATCCTTATGTAGCTTGACTGGATATTCCAAATATTCCAAATCTAATTCCAGAGAGGCCGTTCCAGTTTGCATTCTCACCAGCAACATGGGAGAGCACCTGTCCTTTCACAGTTTTGCCAGGAGAACACGTCGTCCAGTGATTTGACATGTCACTGTTATCAGGTTCTAAGGCTCCATGCGTCTTGGGGCCTATTTATGGAGCTTTAGTCTCTTCCACTGGTCTCCCTCTTCATGCACCAGCATCTCATTGTTTTACTGGGCGTCTGCAGTACATTCTGATGTCCACCAATGTCCAGGAGGCTAGTCCCACCTTGTAGTTTTTCTGGCTATTCTTGCATGATGGTAGCAATTCATCTCACTCCATTAAATACTTGTAGACATTTTTACTGGGATTTATTTGGTTTATAATCAAAGGAGAACTATCATCTTTATCATATGGAGTCATTTTCTGAGAGAATAGATGTTGTTCTAGGTACATTTATGAATGACATTGGGTAGCAGAGATCCCATGGGCAAGGGAAAGTGGTATAGTTCCACGAGGATGCCCAGCAATGTTTTCTCTTGATTCACAGACATCGATGAGTGTAAGACGGGGCAGGCAAAGTGCAAGCAGAAATCGTATTGCAGAAATGAAATCGGAAGCTACTACTGCAGCTGTTTCCCAAATGTTCCGATCTTAAATTGGGTGGCTGGTATCTTGAAAATAAATCATGCAGAATGTTATGGTAAGAACTTCCAATCCTCTCCACCAAGAACAAGGAAGGGTGGGGGAAGACTTGGAGAGCTCCACCAACGTAAGGCCAGGCAGGACAGTGGAGATCTGTCCTGGCCCTTGTCCTTCAACTCACTATTGCAATCTTTTCCCAGCATCACTGCCTTATAAATTTATACCTCTTCTCTGGGCTTCCAAAATGACATCTCTAGCCTTGGCTGGTGTGGCTCAGTGGACCGAGAGCTGGCTTACCTGTTTGATTCCCAGTCGGGGCACATGCCTGGCTTGCAGGCCAGGTCCCCAGTAGAGGGCGATTGAGAGGCAGCGACACATTGATGTTTCTCTCCCTCTCTTTCTCCCTCCCTTCCCTCTCTCTCTCAAAAAATAAATAAATAAATAACCAAAATGGCATTTCTAATTTTCTACTGGACTTCTTTACTTGTTTCTCTCTCACTCATTTCATCTGTGTATATATTAAAACCCATGAGTTCATGCTGCTGGTTCCAATCCTAGGGCTTGCTGTAGTTTTCCCTTTTCCCTTGTTTGCAACCTTTTTCTTCAACACTGAAAAGCCTTGTTCTCACTGTCCACAACCTACTGGTTTATTTGTTAATTCTTAACGTAATTCCATATTTTGAGTTAGACAGATCGTATTTGATCTCTGGCACTATTGCTTACAGCTGACTTCTGGGGAATGACTAACTTCTAAATGCCTCATCCGTACGTGGGAAGAACAGTAACAGCATCCACTGTACTAGTCATGTGTTGCTGAGTCACAAATGACCCCACGGCTTAAAACAACACATGTTTATTGGCTCATGGTCTGTGTAGTCTAGGAATTGAGGCATGGCTCAATTCTAGGCCTCTCACAACTGCAAAGTATTGGTCGGGGATGCCGTCTTATCCGAAGGTTTGTCTGCTTCCAAGCTCACTCCCACGACTGGCTGGCAGGATTCAGTTCTTTGAAAGCTATTGGACTGAAGGCCTCACTTTCTTTCTGGTGGTTGATGAGAGGTTGCCCTCTATTCTTGGATGTATTGGCCTCTCTAGCTTGCTTTATTTTAACAAGCAAATGAGAATAGCCAGGAAGAGAGTGTGAACAAAAGGGAAATCATAGTCCTTTGTAACCAAACCTCAGAAGTGATATCTTTTCCCTTTTGCTATATTTTATTCATTAGAAATGGATCACTGAGTTGAGTCAGGGTGAGGAGTGAATTCACACACAAGGGTATGAATACGGGAATGTGAGGCAGGGATCCCTGTGAATCATTTCAGAAACCTTACCTCGGGTACCAAGTGAAATACCTTCCCCCAAATTCAAGTCCACTCATAGAAACTGTGAATGTAATCTTATTTAGAAAAAGGATCTTTGCAGATATAAACAAATCAGGATGAGGTCGTAGTAGATTAGGGTGGGCCCTAAATCCAGTATGACTGATACCCTTATAAGAAGAGGGAAATTTGGCCCTGGCAGGTGTGGCTCTGTGGATTGAGTGCCAGCCTGCAAACCGAAGGGTCACCAGTTTGATTCCTACTCAGGGCACATGCCTGGGTTGCAGGCCAGGTCCCCAGTGGGGGCCACATGAGAGGCAACCACACACTGATGTTTCTCTCCCTCTCTTTCTCCCTCCCTTCCTCCCTCTAAAAATAAGTAAATAAAATCTTTTAAAAAAAGAAGAGGGAAATTTGGACATAGGAACATACACACAAAGGGACATGTAATGATAGAAGCACAGACTGAAGTCTGGCTGTCTTCAGAAACAAGAGACAGCAAAGATTGCTGCCAACCACCAGAGGCAAGAAGCAGCAAAGAAGGATATATCGTATAAACTTCAGAGGGACCACAGCCCTGCTGACACCTTGCTTTTGGGCTTTTAACTTTCAGAACTATGAGAGAATAAATTTCCGTTGTTTTAAGCCACCCAGTTTGTGGTACTTTGCTACAGCGATCCCAGGAAACAAGTACATTTTCCTACGATTATTAAGGCATGTAAAATATTTAGTGCATTGCTAGGCACCTGGGAAAGCTCAGTTAATATTAGCTATTATGCTACATAACTCTGTTTTAGAAGCTGCTGGGTTCCTTTAAATGAGATAATGCATCTGAATGCACTTTATATATTGTGCTGTATAGACCCTGGCAAGTGTTATTACTGTTTCTATCTTGTTAATTCCATTAACATCCATTCTTTTGGGAAACATTCTCTGTACCCCCCAGAGACTGGGGCCTCTTCTGTATACTCCCAAGTCATCTCATTCATGTATTAACATCTTGGATCCTTGTAATTATTTAATTGTTTGCCATTATTGGCTTAGTCACTCCTCACTCTCTGCAACCCCTAGAAGGGAACTCCCTTTGTCTCGATAACAACCTCTCTCCATGAGGTTTAGCACTGTGCCTGGCTTTTAGTATTTGCTCAATAAATACTATTGACTGAATGATTGAAGTGGAAATTCCACCCTAATTCTCTTTGATTCTACTGCAGCAGACATTTGGTATTTCTTAGAGAAACTGGGATAGGATGTGGAAGCATCAGGGAAAGATTCAACTTGAGGGTGTTTGGAAGAAGGGATGTTATTTTTAATATTTGATTTAATGGCTACTTTTCTTTCCCAGAGGACAGTGGTGAGAGGACACAGTCATCTGAGAACATTTGGGTGAGTAAGGTGAAGCTAGGTTTAGGAAACAGCTCACTGGTCTTCCATGTCTCCCCGTAACTTTTAGGATACAGCAGTTCTCACACTGATTTTGTCCTCTGTGCCAGAGGGATAATGTCTCAGGCAACGTTTGGGATCATTTTTGGTTGCCACAACCACATTGTTACTGGCATCTAGCAGGTGGGCAGAGACCAGGGCTCCTGCTAAACATATTATAATGCTGAGGACAGCCTTCCACAGCCATTATCTAGCCTTACATGTCAATTGAGAAGATTGAGAAGCTCTGGGAAAGGGTTTTCATGGCCCAGCTGTCATTCAAAGACCTGCATCAAGCATCTGGAACCTCATTCCATCTCCTTACTACCTTCCATTCCCTATCTTTCTCCATAAGAGGCTCTTGTAGGTTCCAGATACCTCATTTTTAAAGTCTTCCTATTTTCATAAATACAATGAAGCTAAGGATACACCCTTCACAGGGCTGCGTATGGCAAATAAGAGTCCTATCAGGTTGATAGCACAGCGCCTAGCAGCACCTTAATGTTACTGTCTTGTGGGCTCACCTAACCACACTTACGTGTATTCCTGCTTTCTAAAGTTTATGTAAGAGTCTACCTAATTAGCTTTGTTTTTTTGAAAGACAACTCTAAGGAACAATGGAAGCAAAGAGTACATTGCCAAAGAGGCTACTCAACGGCTTGAAAGAATAGAATCGGCCATATGGAATCACAGTTTTACTTCTCCAGGAAAGCACGAAAATCCGGAGCTTGATATAGGTAAGAAACCTGATCATTTTTGTCATGACCAAAGGGTTAGGGAGGAGGGATCTTTTGTTGGACTGTGTATTTATGTGACACGGACAGAGTTCACTCAAGGGATTCTCCCCAAACGCGGATCTGCTCCAGAGGCTATTTCCTCCGGATGCTAAGCTTCTTTCGGTTAAAAAATTAAGTTTCCCCCATACCAGGTACTCCCATACACATATTTGGTTTTTCCCCCCCTTAAATATTATATGGTAAATGTTGAGTTCTGCATCCCCCCATGCTCCCACCAGTTCCAGTTCCCGGAAGCATGACCATCCCCTTTCTCCCTCTGAGTTGGGCAGCCAGTGTGTGGTGCTCAGGACACACTGACCCTTTCATGCCCACCAACTGGAGAAGTGGAAGGGAGTGACATTGGGTTTACCCTGCATGCAGATGATGAAATCAGCAGTAGTGGGTCTTCACAGATGGGAGTTCTTCAGCCAGTTCCTTAGGTATGAGACGTGAGCTAAGCAGGACTCACTTCCATATGTTTCCAGTCTATGAAACCAAGAAGTGCAACGAGACCAGTGAGAAGACTGTTCTGGAAGCTGGCAATAACACAATGCATATTGACTGTGCTGATGCTTTCAAAAGAACCACAAGAGGTACTGTGTCCAAGATGCATTCTCTTGACCTTCAGATTCTAAGCACTATGCCAAGGTGTGGGGACTTACAGAGCTTTTTAATTCTAATTCATTGAACTGTAGCTCCCTTATAAAGTGATTTCTCTTCTGTTTTCTCAGCAAGAAATGTCGCGCTTATCACTTATGGGTCTCTTGGGGATGTTCTGGATGGATCCTTTTTCAGTGACAGAAGAGGGATAGTGGACATAAAAATGAACTCTCATGTTGTGAGTGGTACCATTGGTGTGGAGGAAAAAGTTTATCTGTCTAAACCTGTGTTCCTGACCTTCAAAAACACACAGGTGAGCAAAACTCAGGGTTGGTGTTGGTTCTCTATGCATTAACTGAATGGGTGTGTTATCAGGGTCCTGATAGGTATCTGAATCCAACTCTGGTCATCCAAGGTTCAGAGAACTGACAGAAAATATTGAGGGCTCCAGAGAAGCTATTATCACACTGAAGCCTAAAAAGGCAATGGTGGGGGTGAGGAGTCAGCCCAGGGAAGGATGGAGGCATGAGGGTGGGGTTGCCCTGCTGGAGATGCAGATAGCCTGAAGCAGAAAAGAAGCATGGAAGAAACACCCGACCTTCTTCAGCTCTCATCCAATGATCTCTCACCAGTTCTTCTCCTTGGTCCCACCAATGACAAGCAGTCTGGGTAAAGCAGTTCACGAGGGTCAGTCCAGGGGCTCTTAGATGACCAGGGTAGAGCAGAATCAGTGAGACTGAAGCCCCCACAGGTGTGGTATAAAATTCTTTCCCACATGTGTTTCAGATGATGGGGCTTTCCCATCCAGTTTCCAACCCATGAAGTTGAAATAGTAAAATGAGAAAGAAAGCCACTTTAATGCTATTCTCTTTCCAGCCTGGTGGTGCCGGAACTAAACATTTGTGTGTGTACTGGGAAGGATCACAGGAGGGAGGCAGCTGGTCGACAGAGGGCTGCACTCTTGTGGGCAGCAATGATTCTTACACCGTGTGCAAGTGCTTCCACCTCTCCAGCTTTGCTGTCCTCATGGCTCTTGTCCCTGAGGTACCAAGACCCATGGTCCCCTCTTGTGAATCTGATTGTGTCCAGGAAGCTGGGAGATCATCTGCTCCGTGTCTTAGAAAAAGACTCTTAATATGTAGAGTCACGCTAACTTGAAAGGTCATTTCAGGAAGCAGCAGAAGGGGACTGGGGAAGTGAAATAGGAAAAGGATAGAAGCCATGCAGAGAGCATCATCAAGCCAGTTCCCACTGTAGGTAACTGGAGGTCAGTGTAGTTCATTCTAACTGGATGTGAGAGAGAGAGAGCTGGGTGTTTATACCCTACCTTCCTTCAGTTGTTAGTTGAAAACTACATTCAGGGGACAACAATTCTCTGATGCTTTCATGGGCATGGGCAGAACAAGCTCAAGTTAGTCAAGGCAGCGCTCAGACGTTGGGAAGCTGGGTTGTCAGCCCGTATAGTGGAAAGGTCCACGGTGGTCTGGGATCGAAAACATCTGCTCCTCCACTGGAGAGAGTTACAGCTGAACCTTCCTGGTCAGACCAGGAAAAGGTGACTATTACCAACAAAAAAGCAAAGCCTCCTGAACTTCTCAACATATTCAGGATAACTCAGGCTTAAAGAAATTGACCTAATTTTCCCCCTATTTCTTTTTAGCTCCCAGTTATTGAATATTTATTGTATGACAACCCTTTATCACAAAATTAATTCATGGGCTCATTTTATTCATTCAACAACTTCATGTATGAGTGCCTACTCCATGTCAGACACTGGAACAAAACAAAGAAATTCTAGTGTTCATGGAAACTACTTTGGGGTTCTGTGTTTTCCTCTAGGATCACCAGCTACATGTAGCTATTGAGCACATGAAATGTGGTTAGTATGACTGAAGACCCAAATTTTAAATTTAAGTTATTTAAATTAAGAAGCATTGTAGAGTTCTAATCAAGATGGCGGTGTAGATGGAGGCTGTGCTCACCTTCTTCCATGAGCGCATCAAAGTTACAACTAAATTTTAGAATAGTTATCCTGGAGAACCATCTGAAGACTAGCTGAACGGAAGTCCTATCACTAAGGATAGAAAGAACAAAGCAACATTGAGACTGTAGGAGGGGCAGAGACGTGAAATGGCCTGGCCCCAAACCCACATGTGGTGGTTGAGAATCCACAGGGACATCTCAGCTGAAGAGGCCCCCACTGAGGAATGAGGGGTTTTATCCCCACACTGGGCTCCCCAGCCCAGAAGAGGAGCCCATGAAACATTGAGTTGTGAAAATTGGTGGGGATTCTGTCTGTCCAGGTCAGACAAAAGGCTGCTTGAAACCTAGGTGTCTTATTAAAGGACCTGTGCACAAACTCTGGCTTGCAGGCACTCACCTGGGTGGCCACCAGAAACACACAAGGAGAAACTGAATAATGTGGCTTCAGGGCAAGGGCTGGAGGGATGGCAGCCATTGTGCCGAGGCTGAACCCACACCTCCACGTCCAAATCTGAATCATTAGCCTGGTCAACTCCACTGGCCCCACTCTGTTGACTTCTAACTTGAGTACCACCTGAGGCTCTCTAGGTGGTGGCAGGTCTTGGGGCACTTTGTGCCTTTTGCTGAACAGCCCCAGGCCTGGTACTAGTGGAAGCCAGCCTTAGTTCTCGGTGTGCTCTCTCCCACGTGTGTGCCGGCCCAGCACAGGCAGCTCCCAACCACAGATCACGTTGCAGCTCCTAACAGGAAGCCGCGGGGCTGCATTATCTGTAATAGACAAGATATGGCAGCAGCCTAAGTGCCCATCTAGAGGTTAGCATGCTGAGTGATACAAGTCAGATAAAGACAAATGCCACATGATTTCACTTATATGGGGGATCTAAAGAACAAACTAGACAAAACAGAAACAGACTCATAGATACAGAGGACAGACAGAGGGTTGGGTGAAAAAGGTGAAGGGATTAAGTATAAATTGGCAGTTATAAAATAGTCACAGGGATGTAAAATATAGCATAGGGAAGATAGTCAACAAAATTATAGCAATTATGTGCATTTTCAGGAGGGTACTAAAATTACTGAGGGGAATACTTCATAAATTAAAAAATGTTGAACCACTACGGTGTGTACCTGAAGCTAATATAAAGTAACATCGAATGTCAATTGTAATTGAAATATTAAAAAAGGAGCAGTGTAAAATCTTTTTCTGTTAAACTCAATTATATTTATTTGGTAAGGCTATATTTCACTTTCCCTATTGAAAATATAGCATCTGGATTGAGATGTGCTATATGTGCAAAATATCCACTGGATTTCAAAGGCCTAGTATGGGAAAAAAGAATATCAAATATGCCATTCATGATTATTTTGCACTGATTTTTGTTTGAACCGATATTTTTTGTACATTATTATATTCAACACATGAACTGATGTTTTCAACTATTAAATAATAATCAAATTAATTTGACCAGTTTCTTTTTACATTTTTAAAACTATAGCTCCCAGAAAAGTGAAATTACACATGTGGCTGACATTTTTATTAAATGGCACCAGCCTAGTGGTTTTGGTTTTTCAACAGGCCTGTGTGGTAAATGCTCTTATGTGTGTCCTCATTTTGAAGGTGGGAACAGCAAGTGTTAGAGGGGTTCAGTCACTCATCTGAGGGGCTTAACTGTGAAGGCTCTGCCTCTCCATCAGGAACATAACTGCACAGTTGGAAACTGTAATGAGTCCCTCCTTTGGTGGTTCATAGGCAGATCCCACCCTGGCTGTGATCAGCTACGTGGGGCTGAGCATCTCTCTGCTGTGCCTCCTCCTGGCGGCCCTCACCTTCCTGCTGTGCAAAGCCATCCAGAACACCAGCACCTCCCTCCACCTGCAGCTCTGCATCTGCCTCTTCCTGGCCCACCTGCTCTTCCTCACAGGGATTGATCAAACTGAGCCTGAGGTAGGTAATTTCACCAAACTTCCTTATTATTATAAACAAATATATCATCTTGTCTTGAGGAAAGATAAGGAGAGAGGCAATCACCTGGGGGCAAATACAAGAGTCCCTATTTCAGCTTTCCTTTACAATATTAACAAAGCCCCCACTTACAGAAGTGCCATTGAGAAAAGTGGTTGAGAGTCAGATGGATGGTATTAGACCTCTTTACAACAGCTGCTGTAACACGTGGACTTCGAAATGCTGTGGTTTATCACACGAATAGTTCATTTTACCCGTATGTATCAGCAGAAGGTGAGCAAACAGGTTTGAAGGGTGTCTATCCTCTGACTTCAGGCTGATGGAGACTCTTCTGTCTCCCACACACAGAGAGCTTCCAAGGTCACCCTGGGGTCCTTCCCATTTTAGCCAACTGGAAAGAGAAAAAGAGCATGGCAGAGTTCCATGAGTGAGGTTTATATGGGCCACTTCAGGAAGTGGTGCATATCGCTTCCTCTCACATTCCATTGGCTAGAATTCTGTCACAAGGTCATGCTTAACTGCAAGGCATGCTAGGAAATGTAGTCTCTGGCTGGGAAGTCATTTCTTAGAGACAAATTTGTAATCTTCACTGGAACTGATGGAGGGTTATACTTTGGGTGGACAGTATCCTTGCCATGCAATCTGCACTTAAACTCAGCTCTTTGTTCTACTTGCTAATGACTTTGTTGAAGTTACTTCCCCTTTTTAAACTTCCTCCCTAAAACAGGGACATCATCATTGGGCTCTAGAAAGGGTTTAGCAAGATAAAACATAATCTGGATTAATTACTTAGAACAATATTAGCTTTTTTAAAATAAAAATGTTATTTATTTATTTTTCAAGAAAGAAATAAAAAAGAAATGGAGAAAAATAAAGAGAGAGAGAGAAACATCCACGTGTGGTTGCTTCTTGTAGGTCCCCTACTGGGGACCTGGCCTGCAACCCAGGCATGTGCCCTGACTGGAATTGAACCGGTGACCCTTTGGTTCACAAACTGGCCCTCCATCCACTGAGCCACGCCAGCCAGGGCACAATATCAGCTTTTATTTTCATCATGATCATGATTATGATCATCATTATATTTTCACACCTAGGAAGAATTGATACCAGATGATCTCCAAGGCTCTTTTTAACCCTCTAAGACTACAATCTCCCCATTAGAAGGTTATAAAAACACTACTTTTTCCCCCTAAAAGGAAGTAAAGTACTATGGTTAAGAATAAATATGGCCTCTGCCAACATTTTGGATTTCAAATACTTTTTATTAACCAGTGTAATGTTTGGAGCGATTTTAACTTTTTTGGCCCTTAGTCTCTTCACATCAACATGTGCAGAAGTTGGCCAACTACAGTGTCAGGTAAATTCTGGCCCACAGTCTGTTTTTATAAAGAACATTTTATTGGAACCATGACTGCTGATGTCCAAGGGATAAAGAAGATGGATATCTTAGCTCAAGAAGAGAGAGTGGATTTGCCCTTCTTGTACCTTTTTGTTCAATTGCTGCTATGCATGGGTTGAAGATTGGCCTTTATTGGTGAGGGCCATCTTCTTTAGTTATCTACTGATTCAAATGCTAATCTCTTCCAGAAACATCCTCACAAACACCCCCAAAATGTTTCATTAGCTTTCTGGAAATCCCTTAACCCAGTCTAACTCACACATAAAATTAACCATCACAGCCTCCCAAAGGGCAAGGCCAATGGAGTATTTATTTACTAATGCTCATCTGTCACAGATTTGAGGGCTGGTCCCATGGCATTCATTCCTTGGTGCTCCTGGTCTGCCCCAATGCATGAGGCAAACAGGCTTCGATGGCCAGTAAAGCCCCCAGAAAAATGTGTTGGCGCAGGCAAAATGTCACAGGTGTTGGAACTGAAATTCCAGCCAGCATCCTGGAAATAAGTGCTGAGGATATAATCAGGTGCAAGCATTGACACCACCTTCCTAACTCTTCTCGCCCTTCCAGGTGCTGTGCTCCATCATCGCAGGGGTATTGCATTACCTCTACTTGGCTTCCTTTATCTGGATGCTCCTCATAGGGCTGCAACTCTTCCTCACCGTAAGGAACCTCAGGGTGGCCAACTACACCAGTGCAGGCAGATTCAAGAAGCGGTTCATGTACCCTTTAGGCTATGGGATTCCAGCTCTGATTGTGGCCGTGTCTGCAACAGTAGGACACAAAAATTACGGAACATATACTCAGTAAGCATGATGAGACCATTTATGGTGAAATTGGTACTCATGGCCAGCACTTGATTTGAAATAAAAAAGCATTGCTTTAAATTCAATTTTCCAGTTGTTAATTATACTTCAAAACAGTCCTTCCTTAAGCCTAGATTTTATTTTCTACTGGTAATTCCTAGAGCTGTGGTTGTCAGCATCTTTGGAGTTAGATCCCTTTGAAAATTTTGGTGAAATTCAGGCTCTATTTTCTCAGACAAGTGAAAAATTTTAATACAACTTGATGAAGTTCAGGGGCAAGCAAGCAAACCCATGGCCCCACATTAAGAACCTGTGGGTTTTATGACCTGTAGGATTCTGAAACAGTGGGTTGACTAGGTTGAGGTTACCCTTCACAATGTAAAGAATAACAATAGCAACAAAACTCAAGGGTGTGTGCTATATCAGAGATAGTGCCTTCTGTCTGAAGAAGCTCCTCTCTTCCTTGGCACTGTTGACCATGTCATGCATAGGACATCTGGACCTTAGTGCATCTAATAAACTTTCTGAAGGTCACATCTAAAAAAGAGTAAGTCAAAATTCACAAGGCAGTGCTTTAAACTGCCAAGTTTTGCTGCCTCGCTAAGTTTGCAAAGCTCTGCAAAGGTAGTTGATGAAGTTAGTATTTTGGCAATGGGACTTGGGGAAGGAAGTAGGTGCACATATGCTAAAACAACAGGTGGAGGCTGTGTGTCTTGAAGTCGAGAATGCCTGGTCCCCAACTTGATCCCTTTGTCTTGCCAGAATGGTTCTGGAGAATATATTAGGAGTTCACAAAGGTTCTACAAAGGGCCAGATTGTAGCTGTTTTGCAGGCCATGTGGTCTTTGTTGCAATGACTCAATGTTGCCCTTGTCGTGTAAAAGAAGCCAAGTTGTAAATGAATGGGTATGGCTGTTTCAATAAAACTTTATTTATAAAAAACAAGGGGTAGATTAGATTTGGCCCTTGGGCCATAGTTTTGAGCCCTTGGAGTAGAACTAAGAGTGGGAGCTTTTCTGCCCACCAAGTGGTGGTGCTTGCTTGTCGTTTTTGCCAGTTTCATATTGCCTGGTCCCCTTTCAAAATGTTCAACTACCTTTGCCGAGATATGCCACGACAGAATAGTCTTTTGGTAGTTTTTAGAGCTATAGCTGTTTTTACAACTTTATTGAGATATAAGGGATATACAGAAAATTGCACATATTTAACGTACACATGTAGATGAGTTTGTACATATGCATATGCTGTGACACCATCGCCACAATCAAGGTAATAAACTCATCCACACCTTCTAAAGTTTCCTGGTCACACCTAGAACATTGACAATTAAGCAATTCACTGACGTAATTCATACAAGTTTTATTTGTACTTCTTTATGTGTATTTAGTTCTGTGCAATTTTATCACATGCATAGAGGTCCAATAACCACCAAAAGGTTACATTTTACTTGATTCCTATTACATAACACTTTTCAAATGATGTAAGTTTTACTTTTTTATTATAGCAATCATTATTAGGATACCTACATTTACTGAGCCTTAACTCTGCCAGAAACTGTATCTAAAAACTGTGCATGTTACTTTATTTAATATTTCCTAGAAGATGCATATAAGGAAAACATTAATGAAGGAAATCAAAGAAAACTCAAATAAATGAAGAGATAGTTCATGTTCATGGATAGAAAGACTGTATACTCTCAAGAAATTAGTGCTCCCCAATTTGATCTACAGGCTCACTGCATTCACAATCAAAATTTCAGGACATTTTGTGGAGATTGACAAACTGGTTCTGTTTATGTGGAGGGTCAAAATACCTGGAAGAGGTAACACACTGTTGGAGAAGATCCAAGCCACAGGACTGACCCAACTTGATTCCAAGAGTTGGTAGATAGCTATTTAAATTTCCCTGGTAGTCCCGTTAGCCCCACTTTGCACCTGGAGACACTGAGGCTCAGAGCACACAGCCCGTATCAGATGAAGATCCATGTCAGATTCCATCTGAAGCCACGTCTGAACCAAACAGCTCCTGGCGTTGCTCAGATTTCGCTACAGAAATGTGTATTAACTCTGCCCCCTCTTCAGCCTTTTTTTCCTGAGACATAAGCAGTGAATCCTTATCTTTCTCTCAACAGCTGCTGGCTCAAGTTTGATAAAGGGTTCATCTGGAGCTTCATGGGGCCCGTGGCTCTCATTATCTTGGTAAGTGACCAATGATGGTTACTTATGGGTATGCCCGCCCTGAGTGGACCAAGCATAGAGAGTGTTTATCTGTTAAAGGGAAATGACAGGAAAATAAGGAAATATAGCCTGATGTGATCAACCCCCTTACCGGAAATACTGTCTTCTCGTGTATTTCCCCGGCTTCTGCATAAATAACCCTATACTGGACATTCTTTTTAAAAATTCTACATTCATGTATTCAACAAATATTTAGCAAGTATCTATTCTGAATAGAGTAACGTGTATTTATGTTGGCCTGGAACTTTGATTTATATCCATCAGCCTGGTTTGAATGATAAATTATGCTGTCACCCTGAGCCAAGTACCAAGTACCAAGTGCCACAGATTATATACTATGTGCTATTCAGTCCAGAGCATATGTCCCTACCATCCTTATGAAGCCTGTATCTTTTAGGGAAAGATAGTTAGGTTCACGTCAATTTAAATTGCATGACATGGCCTCAAAAGAAAATTCTAACTCAATTTTGTATGCTGTTTCCACAGATAAACTTCATGTTATACTTCCAAATTCTGTTTATTTTGAGAAACAAACTTTCCTCCCTCAATAAGGAGGTTTCCACCATTCAAGACACCAGGTAAGCCCTGGCTGGTGTGGCTCAGTGGATTGAGTGACAGCCTTTGAACCAAAGGGTCACTGGTTCAATTCCCAGTCAGGGCACATGCCTGGTTACAGGCCAGGTCCCAGTAGGGGCATGTGAGGGGCAATTACACATAGATATTTCTCTCCCTCTTTTTCTCCCTCCTTTCCCCTCTCTCGGAAAATAAATAAATAAAATCCTTTTAAAAAAGACACCAGGTAAGAAGGTACCAGAATAAGTGATATTCACTACAGGACAACTCTGCCAGGTAGAGAACCCCATAGAAAAGTGACATAAAGTTTCCTGGTACTGTACTAAAGAGTACATGAGGGACAACTTGTAGAAGTAAGAACTGTAATTTTCAGGTAATTTCATGTATTCCCTCATCTCTTTATTCAGTAAATATTCACTGGGTG